TGTAGAGTCTGTAAATTACATGTAATACGGTGCAAGACTGTGGTACATGATCACATGTGTTTGTGGGGAGTTATATTAGATTATCAAAGGAATCTATGACCTTAACTGTAATGTCTATCTCTAATCCATCTATAAGATCTAGCCACAATATAATCCCATCTCCTACCACAGTTTCAAATATTCCTTTTTAAATAAGATTTTATTTTTTAAAATTTTTTCTTATGAGTGCAGGGGTACAAGTGGAGGTTTGTTACATAGGTAAACTTGTGTCATGAGGATTTGTTTTACAAATTATTTCATCACCCAGGTATTAAGCCTAGTACCCATTAGTTATTTTTCCTGATCCTCTCCCTCCTCCCACTTTCCACCCTCTGAAAGGCCCTAGCGTATGTTGCTTCTATGTGTCAATGTGTTCTCATCACTTAGCTCCCACTTGTGCCTTAAATAATTTTTCTAAGTTTTTATATTTTTATGTTATAGAGCAGAAACTTTAATCCAATTATTTTTTATTTCAAAACCTTAGTTATTTTATGGGGATATAAATCCCAATATTGACTTGAAAATCTTCTTTAGCTCCTAAAGCTTTAGCTCCTACAATTTAAGCCACAAAATACTCATTTCCGAGATGGAGACTATTCCTTGAAATATTGACTATTCATTCAAATATTTTGGAGCACCCACTATGATCTAGTAATAGTGTGAAGAGGCTTGTTATTTGATTAAGATAGTTAAGCAAAGCCACTTTGATTAGGTGCCTTTAAAGCAGAGACCTGGAGCTAGAAAAGGGGTGAGTCTTGGAAATGTAAGAGGGAAGAACATTCCAGGCAGAAGAAAGACCAAGTAATAGGACCATAATGGTGAAGCCTTCTCAGAGTTCCAGGAATAGCAAGAAGTACATCCTGGTAATAAAAGGGGTACAGAAGTTAGAGGATAGCAGAGGAGTAACCAGGCTTTTTGCTAAGGACTTCAACTTTTTTATTCTGAGAGTTGTTAGCAGAGGAGTGGTATGATCTATCATATGTTTTAAATAAACAATTCTGCCCGTTCTGTGGATCATAAATTAAAAGAGGGCAAGAGTGAAACGGAGAGACCATTTAGGAAAAAATTGTATTAATCTAGATGGTACAGGATGCTGGTTTATATCAGGATATAGTAGTGAATATGATAAGTGAATTTTGAATATATCTTGAAGGTAGAACTACTGGATTTACTTATCGATTGAACGTAAAGCATAAGTGAGGAAAATAAGGATAGAGCAACTTTGTTTGTTTGTTTTTGCCACCTCAGTAACTGGAAAAATGGAGTTACCATTTTCTAAGATACGGAAAGACTGCAAAAAGATAAAGTGAAATAAAAACTTTGTATTTGATCGTCTTAAGTTTAAGATATCTATTAGATATGCTAAGTCTCAGGAGAGTCTAGACAAGTACATTTATGTAGGTGTCTTTAACAACATAACGATTGTGCTTCAAGTCATGGGACAGGATGTGAAATTACTTAGGGAATGAACATAGTTAGAGAAAGAGAAAAAGAAAAGAGGATCAATCACTGCACTTTGAAGCATTCTTACATTTATTAGTCAGAGATATAAGGTAAAATCAGTAAAGGGACTGAAAAGTGACTCATTAACAGATGGTGACATGAACTAATGGATATATAAAATTGTAAAGTTTTAAAAAGAAATGCCTTGCATATTGTGAATCGTCAATAAATAAAAGTTCCTTCTTGAAAAGCTTATGAGTAAGCTTTATTCATAATAACTTTTCTAGGCTAAGTTTAAAATTTTAACATCAATTGATGATGGGCCATTGCTATCTAATTGTTCCACTAACACCTCAAACTCAATATATAAAATTGAGCTTACTCACCTTCCCTGTAAACCAGATGCTTCAATTGTGTGCACTGTCTTGGTTTTGAGCATCAATGCTCTCCGGACAGGGTAAGGTAAATTTAATTTCCAAAAAGAATTTTTAATGTTTACACAGTAGTTTTGCTTAAATGAAAGTTCTCATGAACTCACTTTCTGAAGCATGAGTCCAAACTTCCGGATTTCTTAACTGTGCTTTCAGGGTCCTCGGCGACTTTCACCAAACCTTTTCCAAGCTCACTTCACATTTCTACTTGCTTTTAAGAATAGCCTGCTCCAGCCAACATTAGTAATTCCCTCTTGTCAAGGCTACTGTGTACACTACTGCCAAGTTATCTCTGTTTAGATTATCTTTCTTTCCATCTCTGTTTGGTTCAATAATATTTAAGACTTTGTGTTGTCACAATATCACAATTCCATCTTCTTGGGATTTTACCCATTCTTTTACGGCTGACTCCAGTGAAGTGTTATTCACAAGCTTTCTGCAGTCTCCATTCATACTGTCTTCTCAGAGCATTTGGTTCCTTCCTGGCTTACAACATACCCAGTTTGAACCCATACCTTCTTTAAAATTACTTAGGCATGGTCTCATATACCTTCTAGATTTTAAACTGCTCCAGAGGCCATGAATACACTCTACCAACTCTAATACTTTTCCGAAGTATTTTTGTCAAAATTGTGTCTCAATTTTTACAAACTTTACTTGTTGAATTGTATTCACTGTATTTTAACTGCCTTAGTTTACAAAATGAAGCACCGATGCCTAGCAAGCTTAAACTACCTGCTCAGGGGCCACATGCTGACCTTGGTAGAATTATGCTCAGTTCACTTTTTCTTCCCACTCTACCACAGTAAATACAGATAATAAATAATCATATATTTGATTAACGGAGAAGAACATACATATTTTAAATGGTGTAGAATAGTGTCTGACTTTATAGTATCCCAAATCAATCAATATCTTGAAAAAGATATGTATTATCAAATTATGTTGATAAATGTATATACCTACCCAGTTGTGCCCTGAGAAAACCAGTAGCATCTATTTTGTAAAATTACTTGCAAACTACAGTTTTATCTTTTCGCTTTCTAACTTTTTCTTTTTTACAAAAGCTTTATCAAAGTGTAAATGATGAATTTTGCTTATCTATTTATCCATTAATGAACATTGAAGTTAATTTGTTTAATAGTCCTTATCTTATAGGGTTCTTATGAAGATCTAACTAATTAATATTTGGACAGTACATAAAATATTGCTTGTTTCTATGTTTCTTAAAGTGGATATGGTTCTATACTTGTAACTGTATATGTTATTCATATTTGTATATTTATGGAAATCACTGGTCCGAAATATACCAAATAGATAACAATTACTTTCCTAACTGTTGATATTGTGAATGGCTTTTATATTTTCTGAAGGTTTTCTATTTTTTGAAATTTTAAATAAATATATCCTTTTTACGTAAGATACATAAAAATTAAAATTATTTTGTGAGATAAAAAACAAAAAAAAGTGTAAATGATGTAGAAAAATGCACATATTTATACAATTTGATAGGTTTTGATATATATTTATACCCATAAAAGCCTCACCACAATCAAGATTGCGAATATATCCATCACCCTCGGTAGTTTTCTCATGCCTCTTTTTAATCCTTCCATCCTCAGCCTTCCGGTATTTGCCTCACCCCCACCCCAGCAACCACTATTCTGCTTTCTGTCACCATAGAAGAGTTTGCATTGTTTTGATGTTTTATAAAATTGGTCTATATAGCCTATACTTGTGTTTTCTGACTTCTTTCACTCAGCATAATTGTTTTGAAATTCATTCATTTCATTGCATTTATCAAAAGTTCATTCTTTTGTATTGCTGTAAATAGTATTATGTTGTATGGGTATACCAACTTTATCTTTCCATGCACCTGTCAATGGAAATTTGAGTTGTTTTCAGTTTTGGGTTATTAAAATAGAACATCTAAGAACATTCATATACAAGTTTTTATATACACATATGCTTACTTTTATGTGGGTAGCTACTCAGTAGTGTAATAGGCAGATCATATATCTGTATGTGTAGCTATTTTTAAAAATTGCCCCAAGTATTTTCCCAAGTGGTTTTACTATTTTCCCAGTATTTCCAGCAGTGTATGGGAGTTTGCGATCTTCCACAGCCTTGACTCAACTTACTCGATTTAGTTAGTCTTCTGAATTTTAGCCATTATAAGATGTATATACTAGTTCACCTTTTAATTTTTAAAACACCTACTATGTGCCAGGCATTGGCAGTGGGAATATAATGCTTAATATGTCCCTTCTTTCACAGATGTATCAGTCAATGAGAAAATAATAGTCAAACTCATAACTTCAGTATAATGTGGTAAACCCTTCAATATAGGCACAGAGAAATTCTTTTAGAAACATAGGTAAGTACAGTCAAAGAAAGATTATGGAAAACTTTTAAAGATTTGGAATTAGAAAGATACCTTGACTCAGCTAGATATGAAAAAGCAAAGATGCAAATGCATAAAAGATGATGGTATTTTTATGAAGGGGAAAGACGTGTGTGGATAGTCCATGAGTAGTGAGGATATAGTTGGTCAGAAGGGTAGAGAGTAGATTTCAAAATAATTTACCTACCCTCCTACGGAGGTTGAGTATTTTGAAGCTGAGGACAGACATTTCCAGATCTGTGCTTTTAAAAACAAAACAAAACAAAAACAGAGAAAGCTCTGAAGAATGGCTAAATGGAAAAAAGAATGTGAGCAGAAAGACACTTAGCAGGCTAAGGCAATGGTCTAATCAAAACAAAATGATGAGGATTGAACGTATGCTTTAGTTTCCAAATAGAGAAAAAGTCTACATGATGCGTTTTTTGAGCCACATATAATTTTAAATTCCCCCCTCCCATAATAAAGGCACTGATTTCCCAAAGGACTAAAACTCTTTATTATACACTTATGATGGAATCCCCGGAGTAGGAAAGTTTTTGAATTTTTAGCATCCATTTATTCTGTTAGAGATTTCAACAGCTATTTAGTCTCTTAATAAGAAAAAACCCACAAAACCGAAAAACTTCTAGCACAAGTCTTTAGAGAGTTTACAGAGGGTATTCATTAGGTTATATACATCTTACCATCCAGCACCACATTCTCTTCTGTAACTTCATTAAGTAGGAATAATTATTCTTGCAGTATAGTTGAGATTTCTATGGAGCAAAAGCCACAGCATATGGTTTGACTCTGATCAGTCTCCTTAATAAAAAAAAAAAAAAGTTTAAGTTAAAGTGGCGTATGGTATAAATTTATAAGCAATATTACTGCCTGGGGCATATAAAAATTCTATCATTTGTGGCTAAAAACTGTAAAAAGGCCCTTTTCACAAGTTTTATTGTTCCATAAGAATGAGAAGTAATTTTACAGTATAATAAAATGGCTACATGTATGTATTACCAAATCCATCTTAATATGTCCCATATACAAAAAGGAGTTGAAACATATTTGTATCCTTCATTTACATGCATTCTGAAGTATGGCATAAACATAATCCTAAAAATGCTTCTCATACATAAAATAGGATATGCTGCCCTACAGCAATGATTATTAACATGTTTTGGTATAGAAAATAGTATCTACCCATGTTCTTTTACTTACAAATACTGAGCAAGTCTGCAGTGAACAATTGTACTTTGCCTGTTTGCATTCATTCAGTGAATATTTACTGAGTTTCTATAATGTGCAATACACAAAGATTAGCCAGGTAGAATCTGTCTCTGACTTCATAATGTTTACATTTTCAGTATATCATTTTTAATGCACTTTGTACCATTACAATTCTTTAATACCTCTCTACTTCAGGGTTTTCCAAACTTGGCACTATTGATGTTTGAGACAGGATAATTATTTCTGTAGTGGATTGTCCTGTGCAATGAAGTATGTTTAGCAGCATCCCTGGCCTCTACCAACTAGATCCTGCTAGTTTCCCTCCCCCAGTTGTTTCAAACAAAAATGTGTCCAGGTATTAAAAAATATCTCCTAGGGGACAAAATCAACCCCCATTGAAAATCACTTCTGTCCTCAAGTAAGAAGACAGAGTTGTGCTTTCCACTCTAAATAACATTGCTTTGAACACTTAACTAAATTTTAATCCAAAACTATTTCTAAATGATGCCCAAAATATAAGTAAAAAGTAAAATAGTTCATTACATTGCTATTGCCTAACATGTCAATGTTCCTTAATATCTTGGTATTTGATGTTATGTAGCCAAACAGTCAGGTGACTAACTGAATGTGCCTTTGTTCATGTGGAAATGAAGGTAGGTTTTTCTTTTGAAATTCATTTCTTTATTGCTCTAAAGGATACAGCGTTTATTTCATTTCCCTTCTAAAATTTCAGAGTAGCTGAACAATTATAAAATAAAATGTATACTCAATAAACATAAACAGTTACGTGATGCAAAATACCTACACTGCAACATTAAAATTATTATATTAAATTTAACTGAATCAGGACAGATTACGAGTAATCATATATAACAAAGACATGTCAATTTTAATTGAATGACCAACTTATTTTTCCAAGTATTGAACTCAACTTTATACTGGTGAAAAAGCATAGCTTTTGAATTTTGCATAACATATCTCAAAATATTCACAAGGTTTTCCATATATCAGGTAAGCGTCTCTGAAAACTGACTGAGTTATTTAACTGAATCTAAGCTAAATAACTTTCTGGTAGTAAAACTCGGAAGTTAATAAAAGAAGAATGTTAAGAAAATGTTGATCACATTCTGCAATTTGAAATAAGGTGGAATTTTTCTTCCATTCTTTTTTATCCTTTTAGAAGTTAACAATAGCATAGATCTGCTTTTGTTATGTAGGCAAAGTAATATTTTAATTTTACTTTTAGCTATACAAAGCTATACTTTGTATAGTGGCTATATTCTTCAAATTTTCTGTTAAAATATGAGATCTATTTTGAAATCAAGCGTCATTTAAATTCGTTCTTCCGTCATTATTATGTGCTAATACAAAATCAAGGTTAACCCCTTCATAGTCAATTTAATTTTATAAATGAACTGACTGATAAACTTCCTTCTGGCCTTTCCTAAGAAAATCAATGTAAACTTACTGATTCAGAGGTATTCTTTATTTACTTCAATGGGCTAAGATTACAATCAGAATTCAATCAGCCAACAAGAAAATAAGGTACCATAATCTCCCTTGGCCTAAGGTTCCTGCTACAGTGTAACAAGGGAAACCCACAGTACTTTTTCAAGAATTTTTACCTAGGAAATGTGTCCAAATACGTCTTCATAGATAATTTATGTGTTACAATTTTTTCTTATGCTCCTTTTGTCTAATGTTGCCATGGAGAGGTGTGGTGATAAAAGGGAGAAATTTGAAAATAGGGCCAGTTTGTCACCTGATCCATTCTGCTTTGCTGAATTGTATAACTCTGTGGCTATCATTTACTCTAAACTAAGTAGATATCAATGGCCAAGGCAGCTTTATGACACCACGCTATATTCTGAAACTAGATGTAAAGCCACAATCTATAGATTTTTATTGTTTTAAAAGGTGCCAACATAGCTACATGTTATTAAGCATGTAGTATCCAATGTACTTATGAAGGGGAAAACAACTACATGTTATCAATCATCATTCTATATTTTCTTCTTTCCTAGTCCCTTGAGACAAGGTTCAGCCATTTCCTAGCTATATTCTATTGTTCATTTTCTAAGAATGAAGATATTGGAACTGGTTAAAAGCAGTAACTTTTACCTATTTTATATTCCTTTTTACACCCATAATCATATACAGGAACATTCTCCTTTGTGACGCTTTGTGTCTGTTAAGGTCCCTGATAATTGACAAAAAGGAATAAATTCTCAACCAAAAGGACAGGTTGCCATGGTGAAACAAATAAGAGCTTTATTCTTGAGAAAACTTATGCTTCAAATCCTGGTTCTGCCACTAAACAGCTGACCAATTTATTGCCTTTTTTTGAGTCTTTATTATTTGTAAGTAATAAACTTTGGCTTCAGTTATTAAAATAAAGTATATTATACCCATTTTTTTTCTTTTTGAGACAGGTTCTCGCTTTGTCACCCAGGCTGGAATGCAGTAGTGTGATCTTGGCTCACTGCAGCCTCGACCTCCCAGGTTCAATCGATCCTCCCATCCCAGCCACCAGAATAGCTGGCACCACAGGTGTGCACCACCACACCCAGCTAATTTTTGTATTTTTTGTATAGGCAGGATTTCAGCATGTTGCCCAGACTCTAAAATATTATTATAGATAATGTATTATTATAAATTATAATTTATTGTTGAAGATAAATTTATGGAAATTAAAATTTATCTTAAGGAAGATTTCATGAAGGAGGTAGGGTTTATGTATATTGGGGACTGGCAAATAGATGGAAAATGAACATTTCTGGGATCATAGGCAAGGCAATGTTCATAGGACATGTGAAAGATAAACATAAAAAACATAAGGAATTTATCAGAATTGTATTACATACACAAACCCCCCTCCCATTCAATGTTGTGTCACATAATGCAGCCCACAGAAATAACAAAGTGACTACAAACCTGCCTCATTTCCCCAGTTAGCTGTATTCCTAGGTATTTTATTCTTTTTGTGATAATTGTGAATGGGATTGTGTTTTTAATATGGCTCTTGGCTTGGATGTTGCCAGTGTATAGGAATGCTACTGATTTTTTGTGAAATATGTTAATTTTGTATGCTGAGACTTCGCTGCAGTTGTTTATCAGCTCAAGGAGCTTTTGGGCAGAGACTGTGGGGTTTTCTAGATAGAGAATAATTTTGTCTGTAAATAGGTATAGCTTGATTTCCTTTCTTCTTATTTGGATATATAAATTATTCGTTCTACGATGAAGACACATGCACACGTATATGCATTGCCGTACTCTTCACAATAGCAAAGACATGGAATCAACCTAAATGCCCATCAACAAAAGACTGGATAAAGAAAATGTGGTACATATACACCCTGAAATACTATATAGCCATATAGAAGAACGAGATCATGTTCTTTGCAAGAATATGAGTGGAGCTAAAGGCCATTATCCTTAGCAAACTAACTCAGGAACACAAAATCAAATACCACATATCCTCACTTATAAGTTGGAGCTACATAATCAGAACCAATGGACGCAGAGAGAAGAATAACAGACATTAAGGCCTACTTGAGGGAGGAAGGTGGGAGGAGAGAAAGGATCAGGAAAAGTAACTATTGAGTACCATGCTTAGTACCTGGGTGATAAAAAGGTCTGTACACCAAACCCCAATGAGACAAGTTTGCCTGTTTTAACAAACTTGCACATGTACTCCTGAATCTAAAATAAAAGTTAAAATAAAGAAACTTGTTTCAACTACGGCTTGTCTATAATCTATTCTATATGTAATGGACAGAAGGATGTTTTTAAAAACATAATTCATAATACTCCCCTTCTTAATATCTTTTCCATCACAACCAGAGGAAATTCTAACACATTGCTCTAGCCTATGCAGTAGTTCGGGATCTGGCCTCACGTTCCTCTGATCTCCTATCACCCCTCTTTTACCCACTTCGCTTGCACTGGGCTCCAGTGATGCATACTTTTATTTCAGTTCCTTCAACACACCCAGTTTATTACTTCAGGGCCCTTGCATCCTTTGCCTTGAATTTCTGTACAGATATTCACATAACTTATGCCATCTTATCATTCAGATCTCAGCTAACAAGTCATCTCCACAAGGAGGCCTTAACATTTGCTATTTTTCTTATTCTTGTTAATTTGCTTTTATTCTTGTTAATTTGCTTGGTTAGGATGCTATTCGCATCGCAAGGCTGTATGTGCTATGAGAATGAGACCAGGCCTACCTTCTCTTTTTGCTACATCCTCAGAGCCTAGCATTAAGATTTATCATGGCTGGTGCCCAATAAATATTTATTATAGGAAAGAGTGCATGAATGAAAGCTGTGAGTACATGGGGATAAAACAAACAAACAAACAAACAAAACACACAAAAAAAACAAAACAAAAAACACAACAATTCCTTCACAAGGAAGAGATTCCTATGCTGCTGATTCACTTTGTGTGTCTAGCAGGATTTTAAAACCTCATCAAAGTATTTTATATTTCTACTCATTTGCTTTTAGTTTGCTTGACCCACAAAATGTAAAGGAGAAATACTAACAACAATCTTTTTGAGCCAGTTATTTGTATTTTCCATTTCTTGGAATTT